ACATAAAATCTCTGTATCAAATAGCCTGATCTCTTGTCGTATACATTCATCCAAAATTTAAAGACACCAATTCCTGCACCTATCATGGCATCAATAGACCAGAATGCAATGCAGCTTCAAGGCATGGGGCCTTTCTCATTTCTCTAATTCCCCTCCTCGACTCCTATCCTCGTGTCTTAGTCCCGCCCACAGGAGATGCGAGCGGAGGACTGAGGAGGGGAACTGAGGAGAGAGGAGGGTAAGAGAACTCCTCTCCTCTGAGCGGTCATTTTAAAGAGACGTCCATTAATGATGACAGGAGGCACAGCATCTGTCTGATGGACAGATGTGTTCATGATGACTTATTTACTTTTAATTAATTCACAGTGCGGACAATAACAGGCTACAGATGTGGACATATACACACATACACACACACACACACACACACACACACACACATACACACACACACACACACACACATCTATATAAATATATACAATTTCAGAATCAAACAAGTATGAGAGCACTCTCATAATAACGTATCAGAGACTGGATATATCCCCCCCCCTTCTCTGGTCGCTACAATGGGGAAATTAAATTACGGGCCAAAAGTTGTATTTACAAGTATTAAAAGTAAGCAGAGGACACCAAACCAACTGAGACCTGTCTGTCTGCTGCATCCACACACACACACACACACACACACACACACACACACACACACACACACACACACACACACACACTGTACCACACGCACCTACATACTGTACCACACACACCTACAGCTTCTAAAGCATATAATATATCAGGATACAGCCGTTGTGTATTTTAGTATGTGAAGCACTAAATGGTTTTAGAAAAATATCAACTCTGTGTTTGTAGATATCTATACAAATAAAGAGAGTAATGTAGGCCTGTTATACTGAGTGATATTATACACACTGCTCTGCTTTCTGCACGGACCTCACAGCTGTTCTCACTGTAAACATCACGTCACGATTCAAGCAGTTAATAAAATAATATCCAGGGGATGCATGCAGAGCTGTCATTGGCTGAGATAAGTCCGGCCGTGCGTCACAACTCTTTTAAACATCACTATTGCCGGAAATAAATCTGCGGAGGAGCCGTGGAGGACCCATCAGTGTATCCTCGGTTAGAGCTCCTCCAGAGAGCCTCCTCGATGCTCGATGCTCGAAGTGCATTTAGAGAAATTAGATGTCCTTCAACATGGCGCGCTGAAATCCATTTCCGGGTCACTACCGGAGGACCGAGGAGTCGAGGAGGGGAAATTAGAGAAATAAGAAAGGCCCATAGAGTATGAAGATGTGTATTTTGCAGAATATGCTTGCAGTACTGTGCTTGTATTTTTTTTGCACTAGTTGAAAAGATTGATTGCACTATTATAGTGTCTGTATGCTCAGCCCAGCAGGTACACTGTGAAGTTATTTTGGCAAACAAACAACATCATGTTGTTTACATTCAGTGTTCTCAATTTCCTTCATCATAACACATTTGTACAGCAGATTTCTGGAATTTGAAACCGTATTTGTTTACAACCATGTTTTGCCAGCTAGCACTATTTTTCATGGCGAATTTGCTGACTACTTTCAAACGGTGTTACTGTGCATCATGTGTATTGGTGTAAAGTGCACGTCGACTAAAGAAACGGGCTCCTACTTTCAAACTGTTGCTCCAGTGTTAATATTTTTGCACAGTTGCAGATAAAGATTACACTAGTATAATTATACTATTTGTAGGATAATTCGGGTTGTTCAGTGTGATTCCAACAGATTTCCAATAACTTACAGCATTGCATGGTCCAAAACTCAAAATGTATTGCGAAAAAGATAGATTTCACGAATCACAACACGCTTTATTTCCAACGGAATATTCTGCTTTAATCCATATTTGGTCATCCACCATCACCACCATCACCTTCTCCGGCCAGGACATTACCCTCTCCTCAATAGTCACCAACCTGGGTGTCAAAATGGACGCCCATCTGACCTTTGAGGCCCACATTAAACAGCTGTGCAAGAACTCCTTTTATCACCTCAGGAACATCGCCAAACTCCGCCCCACACTCACTCTGTCTGACGCCGAAAAGCTGGTCCACGCCTTTGTCTCCTCCAGGCTGGACTACTGCAATGCACTCCTCATCGGGATCCCTAACAAAAGCATCCAGAAGCTCCAATACATTCAGAACAGCGCTGCTAGGATCCTGATGAGGGTGCGCACATATGAACACATCACCCCCATCCTTAAAGCACTACACTGGCTACCCGTGGAACTGAGGATCGAATTCAAGGTCTCCGTCCTCACCCACCAGTGTGTCCATGGAACTGCCCCTCCCTACCGCAAGGAACTCCTCACCCCCCATACCTCCTTGCGGACCACCCGCTCCAGCAACTCCAACTTCCTCAAACCCCCCAGGACTAAGCTCCGTCCGTACTATGGGAGACCGGGCCTTCTGCTCGGCTGCTCCCAGTCTGTGGAATGCTCTCCCCGACCAAATGAGAGCACCACAGACCGTGGAGGCTTTTAAAAAAGGCCTCAAAACCCATCTCTTCAAAAGAGCCTTTGCCTAGACCTTTTTATCACCCTTTTATTTATTTTGTATTGCTTTTTATTAATTCTACCGTGTTGTGTAATGTTTATTTATACTGTTCATGCTCACTACTTGTAGCACTTCGGGATTTGAAATCAAATATGAAGTGCTTTATAAATGGAAGCCATTATTGGTAGGCGTTCAAATACAGTTTGCACTAGCTTTCGCACTCTAGCAGCAATTCTACAAAGCTAAAAGGCTCAATTAATGAAGATAGTTAATTTAATAACCAATGCTTACTAATTTCATCATAGGAACCACTTTGTTGTAATCAAGGAATTGGTTTTCATAGGGTGATGTCATAAAATATGAAGACAGACATTCAAAGCTTTGTCAAAAACCTCAATTAAAGCTTTGAATGCTTAAAGAAAAATGACACTCTTAAAAGCTTTTAGTCAAATATAACGCTCTGCCAATCATTTAGGCGCATGGAGGAGGACCAAGGAGACGTGCTGAGTCTGGTGGAGTCGGATGATGAGCAGATCTTTCAGGACGCTGTTCCCCGGCTGCCTCCGATAACCAACGGACTCAGAACAACGCTCGTCCAGATACATCGAATCCCGTCCAGTATGACCTCATCATGGCTCCTAACATTGATTTGATGGTTTGTTAATACATAGTACAAATCTTTAGTACCAATGTCCCTTGTTTTGTTTTAGGTGATCATGAGGACACAGAAACTGCTGACCGGAGCCCGCAGGACGATACTGTACGGATAGAAACGTCAGCGGATCTTGTAACATTTTAGGTATCGGGTATTTTTTAGATACGTGTTTTATTTTAGGTAAATACCTTTTACTCCCAAGGACAATGTGAACGGAATCGGTGGAAGATACATGTATAATAAAATAATCATCTATTTGAATTTGTTATTATTTTTAAAAAAGGGTTTTGAATTTTTGTATGCTTATTTCTGATTGATTTGTTTGTAGGCTACAGCATTTTGAATGTTGCTCTGAGATTTGTATGATGAGTTGAAACAACATGTGATGTGACAAAGCCTTTGCTCATTCATTACTCACTCCTTATACATTGCTGCGTTGTGCTGTGCGTAGCATTTACAGATTTACTGTGATGATACCAGTGTAGAATGCAACTCTAGACTGAATGTTTAAAAATGTAGTGGGGTCACTTCACCAGGTGTCTTATGTTTGAAAGGATGCAGTGAAGGGAGGGTAACAACTACTACAGGTCGGATGTCCCACCTTTAGAAATGACTTAAATTCAGCTGACATGAGATCTTGTGTATTAATCTTACTTTGTAAATCATCCTTTAAATACCCATTTGAGTATTTCTTTAAGTAGAGGACAATTCCCTTTCATATCAAATGGAAATATCTTATAAATAAATATATAGACATGTGCCTTATTAATGCCTTAAGACATTGCACAACCATAACAAATTGAAATGCTAATTAAAAGTATAAAAAGCATTTTACAATAAATACAAAACATAACATACATACAAGATAGGCTTTAGGGTTCAGTCAAGGGCAGAGGGGATAATTCTCTTTTTAATCTGGATGTAAAGGTAGGGGCCTGAGAAGAGAGCATTACAGTGATCTAACCTGCCGGAAATGAAAGGACATACAAGGGATATGTTTTAAAAAATGTAGAATGTTGGAAGCTTTCACATGGCTGGGTCAATGATTCAACAACCAATACTTTTGTGTAGTGATTTGATATATAACATTTAGTTTGCTCTGTATGCTCTGGGAATTATATAACACATATTTCTCTGTAGTTCCTTGTAGGCTCTTGACAAGAGCGGACTATTATATTTTAATAGCAGTAGTGTAAAGTAACTAAGTGGAATTACTGCAAGAAGTAGGCTACAGTTCTTAAGTACACTTTTGAGATACTTGTACTTTACTTAAGTATTTCATTTGTTTGCTACTTTGTACTTCTACTCCACTACAATTCAGAGGTAAATTTGGTACTTTTACTCCACTACATTTATGTAATACCTTTTAGTTATTGCAGTTTTGGATTAAGGATGTGAAATGTAAAAAACACTTAACAATGACTTTAGATCAACCTGGAGTACATTCACAATCTACTCTGCAAAGTAATTAAAACTAGCTGCACCTTTACTAGCTTTGATAACACTGCAATGCATTAATAATTATAATCAAAACATTTTTATCAGGACCTGTAACAGAGTATTCCTACACTCTGGTACTTCTACTTTTACTTAAGTACACGATCTGAGTAGGCTACTTCTCCCACTTCTGTTTCACAGAGGAAACCAGAGGAGTTGTTGTTAGTTATCTAGCCTGTATATAGCTCATGCATTGCAATTGTATTAGGGGGAGTGCCATGGCTTTAAGGTTACGTAATAAAAGAATAGCGTAACTGCGTTTGGCCAATAGCACAAAGTGACTCAGGCAACCGGAAATCAGCTGATCGTTTAGTTTCCCACTCGCACATTTTTCACATAACAAACAGTGTATCGCAGGAACAGACAAGTCGCAGCTCTGTCTCGGGACACAACACACCATCCTGCCCGCGTGAATGGACGGCTGGAGGCGAACACAGAGCAAGATTCCAGGAAGTTAAAAGCGAATAATGTGATAAAGAAACGATGTGCTCCACGGGAACCAATGCGGAGCTACAACAAACATGTAAGTCGTCACATAGTTATTAGGGATATTATTTGCGAGCTCCGTCATGTTGTCATCGCAACGCTCAGTTACCAGGCAGCGGTTAAACCTCCTGGGGGAAATGCAGCACCGAGCGGGGGTAGAGGGTTTGTTATTATGCGGGGGGAAGGTGCTGTCAGGGCCAGGGGCGGTGAAGGATGAATGTGTCAGCCGCTGAATTTATGTCGCCCTTCCGTTCTCTTCCAGCGTCCGACCCGGCTCTGGTGCTGGAGCTGAAGACCAGGCGTCCTCCGTCTCTGGAGGGCCGAGCGGGCTGTGAGACCTGGAGCGTGGACTTCTCCCCGGACGGAGCCTGGTTCGCCTGGTCGATGGGACACGGCATCGTCTGGGTGGTCGCCTGGCCTCTCGACTCGGAGTAGGTTTACCTGCATTTAATCCATACGACGCGTTCAGGTGTCCCTTGTACAAACGGGCTTATGCATTGGGAGAGGGCAGGGGTCTGCAACCTTTTTGACCAAAAGAGCCATTTTGCTCCTTTTTCCAAAACAAATTGTTGTCTGGAGCCGCAAAACATATTTCATAGTTTTTTATTGTTATATCAGACAAAAACTAGTTTTTTTTTTGCATTTATTAGGCTATTTATTACATGATATAAAACTGTTAACCTCTAATAAGAAACAAATAACTCTTATAAGGAGAATTACAAATAATACACAGGCCTACTTTAAAATAAATTAAACAGGACTTGGGGAGTCCTCTGCACATTTGAAGGAAAACAAAATATTATTAAAATGGGCCCACTTTGAAATAAATAAAACATATAGCTGCACCCTAAAAAGAGTTAAAGGTAGGGTAGGTAAGAATGGAGAAACCAGCTCGAGTGAGCTAGAATTTGAAAGTACACAACCGGAAAAAATCTGCCTCTTCCTTCAGACTTCCTCACAGAGCCCCTCCTCCAACACACACGAACGCGCACATGACCAATGAGGGCACGAGATAAGTTTGTGCCCCGATGGAAGGCTGACAGGCAGGTTGGCCATCCAGTTATTTTAGCCGGGCCGGCTCAGATGATTGGTCGTGCTTTTTAAAGCGCTACGGCTTCCAGAGATTAATTTTTGTATTTATTGTCAAAGCATTTAATATATTCATTGCTATCGGGACGTTAAGAGCATTCCAGGGAATATAACAAAAAGTGTTTTCTGAAATAAATTACATACCCCATTGAATTATGACTGAAGATCGTCAGCTGTCTTCCTCTCCCGTATTGTTCCTCGATACGTAAAGGCTGCACCACCGTTGACAACTTCTCTCTACATATCAAACATACCGGTAAACCAGCATCGTTTGCTGTGAAAGCATATAACTCTGTCCACACAGAATTAAATCCTGTGTTCCTCCGGTACTTTTCTTTGATTTATCCATAGTTCGCTCATCGAGCCGGGGGTCAGGTTATTCGCCTCCAAGAAAAGGCGCTCGCGCGGGACCGTAGCAGGATGTGACGCATATTTTAGTTTACCTAATTAAAACCGTTTTGTTTTTTTATTTATGTGTCACAGTATCACCTCAAAATACAAGATACGAAACATTTTCAACCATGCAAGAAAATATAAATAGTCCTACAAATACTTTTATTTTATTTCCTTCTTATTTTTGTCTAAACTCAAGGGAGCCAGAGCAGAGGGCTTAAAGGGCCGCGGGTTGCCAACCCCTGGGATAGGGCATAAATACTGATGTCTGCTTGACTTGACAAACAAATTATAAACTAAAATAAATAATACAAATATGACGTTACATTAACGCATATCTTTGGGGCTATATCTCTCTACATTGCATATTACTTAAACATTTACAAATAACAATTTAACAATTCAAATGTAGTTTACATAGCATCTAATAGACACATAAAAGCGCACTTGTGCACGTAAAAAAAGGTCTTTCATTTTAATTGAGGTATAGTGTAAATATTTTTAAATTTTGATATAGATATTTTTTCGTGTATTATTATTATTATTATTATTGAACTTGCTCTTATTTATGTATCTCTTATTGTGTTTGTTTTCCAAGTCTTTGTGTTGAAAACTGGCATTAGGAAAGTTAAGGGTAGGGTAAAATGTCATTATAAATGAATAAAACATGATGAAACTGAATGAAGAAACTACCTGAATTAAATGTAAAAAGCACCTAAAGAAACTTCAAAATCTAAAGTAGATGGACAGTTTAAATATGTATTGGATTATTTTACAAGTGAATGGATGTATGTAGCCATTTAGTTTTATTTATTCATACATTTTCTTTTGAAGTGCCTTATTTATTTATGTATTTATTCATATTGAACATGTTGGGACTCCATATGCTCTGTGCTACCAATATGATACCTATATTAAGGTACTGATTACTTTTTTTCAAAACATACCAAATTCCTTCATGCATCAATGATAAAAAAAAAAGAAAAGAAAATGGAAGATCATAGTATATTCAATCAAAGAAAAACTGAACTGCTAATTCTTATTATGAATTATTATTTCCAACAGCACTTAAAGGCAGCATATCCAATCTCCAGCTCTAGCATCCAATTTGCCTTTTTTTTATAGTATATCTGGATTCTTCTCACCCACAGAGACAATCAGAATGCAGAGATCGATCGTGGAGACAAGAGCTTCAGTTGTGGCCATCCAGTGTGGGGCCTGGCCTTCGGACCCAGGCCTCCAAAATCATCAGCTGTGGCGCGCCAAGCTAAAACAGGGAAAACATCAAAAGGGAGCAAAAGCCTGCTTCTGGCCACGGGTTTAGAGAACGGGGTGATCAAAATCTGGAATGTGTTAACAGGTGAGATCTCTATTCCTGCTGGTGACGCTCTCACCTGCACTCTTTTTTTATATTTTTCAAATCTGTTGCTGATTTTGAATGTTTTTGTTTCAGGTGATGCTGTGTTTGATCTCCATGGCCACGAAGGTGTTGTGAGGGACCTGGTCTTCCCTCAGAATGGGACGCTCACACTCATATCGTCCTCTCGGGACAAGACTTTGAGGATTTGGGACCTGGCTCAGAAAGGTGCACTTTTACTGGCTTTAAGTTGAATAACTAATGTAAAGTCTGACAAACACTCCAAAAACCAAATCCATGAGACAATCTGTCGTTTTTAGGCAGTAAGGCTAGAGAATCATCTTTTTATTTTAGCATTGTTTTCCAAGTCCCCTTATGATCAGACTGTCTTATAAATCATTGTTTTTGGTACAAATACATGAAACTTGACATTTAGCATAAGCAAATCAATTTTATTATTTGACAAATTAAGACAAGATCCACCTTGCCATTTGATTAAGTTGAAAACATGGCCATTTATTTGTTTGAAAACATCATACCTTTTAGGCTCAAGGCTTTCCTTCAGCTGTCTTTCTAATGTCGGAGCATCCTTGAACGCAACTATATTAAGCTGTCCCTGGTTAAACATTAAGACAATACATGATCTCTGTGAAGTGTTGCCAAACAGGTTTCAAGGTTGTGCAAATGTATTGGATATTGACTTAAACCAGTGGCTGCCTGGAAGGTTGAAAATAAGGCTATAAAGTTTCATGGTTTAAATGATATATAAAAAGTGGTAGTAAGCATTCAATGTTATTGTTGTTGTTCTTTAAATCATTAGTTTTCTGCTTGTTTCTCTTCATGTATCACTTCGTGTTTTTTTACTGAACTGAACCTCCTGTTCAATTCCAGGAGGTTAAAGCAAACATATGTTCATTTCTACACATACGAGTCATGTTCTCCACAACTTCAGGAGCTGATAGTTTGAAAAGCTTTTTTTCCTTTTTCTTCATTTAATCCCATTGATGATTTTGTTGTAAGTCTGTCTGTATTGTGTCCGTAGGTAAAACGGTGCAGGTGCTTTCTGGCCATAAAGACTGGATCAGTAGCTGCTGCGTGTCCTCAGACTGCAGCATGATCGCGTCTGTCGGCAGATTTGACAGAGTGAGTTAATGATTGTAAATTGTGTTTTCATATTCCAGGCAAGGACAGACACAGCGACACAGAAACAAAAACATGTGCATGTCATTAGGACTATTTTTGCTATACATTTTCATTTCAGATTCAGAAGTCTTCCTCATCCATTTTACACGTTACCATCATTACGCATAGGGGCAAACTGTCGTTGTCTAAAATGGGACACTTTTCCCTGTTGCACAACACTCATAGGAATTGAACTTTTTTCAAACTTATCCTGTATCAAGTTCACTTTTTAAGGACATTGCAGTGGTTGTTAACTAAACTCGTTCGCATAAAGGTTTCTTTGTTGATCTTTGACATATTGGAATATACAGGAAGAATTTGAGGATTTACAAGTTTTTGGTCACAAGTCTGTTTTTGTTATCATTATTGCAGCATTTCCTTTTGATTTTCACAACCACACAGTTTAGCTGCGTGTTCCAGCCTGTCCTGGTGCTGTTGGCATGGACTGACTCAGAGTGAGGATCAAATTCCTAGATTGTTTTGGCAACCTCTCAAATATTTGCAAAAGGCCAAAAATAAATTCAAACAAAAATTAAACCTATTTACAATCAGCTTGTGGTGCTCAAAGCGCCAAAATAAATGTATTGGAAAAATTCCACAGCGATGTCTCTTTCCAGAAATCATGATCTCAAGATAATCCAAAGACGTTGTTGTGAGCAGTTTCATGTAGGAACTATTTTCTCTCTACCAAACTACACCTGCCAACTGTATCACTCCGCAGAAAGAAGCAGACGTGGTTGTAGTTCCTAAATGACCTATTGTCCAAACACTAAATATTTCAAATGAAATACAAACCTTGACTCTTTAACCCTTTGTGATTGAAATGTATCAGATGGTGTGTCTGTGGAGTCTGCGGTCATACACCTTCATCAGAAAGCTGACAGGAGGAAACTACAAGACCTTGTTCCTGCTGTCCTCCTGTGACTTCTCTCCTGATGGAGCGGTGCTCGCCACCGCAGCCTTCAGCGGCTCGAGCTGGTGGATCGACCTCTGGGACCCGTACACCGCAGAGAAACTGGCCACTCTGGTGTAAGTTTACACTCAGCCTTCAGTCTTAAAATGAACTGAACATTTGGATCTGTAAATTAATTGCAGTCGATTCCCAAAACTCATATGGTGGAAAATTCATTCTGGACTGCACTGTTTTGACAGACATGAAGACAGTAAATATCATAATGCAGGTAAACGGTTTTTTAAATACAGAAGTAGGAACCAAACACATCCTTGTGCACTTCCTGAAAATATTTTCTCATGTCCTACAAACTGTTTTTGTATTTTGAAGTATATAGTACAGGGCATAATGATTCATGAAATCTCCTTATTTCTTTTATCGACAGAGACTATTTTAATGATATCGGGCAAAACCAAATCTCCTCAATACAGTTCTCTCCCAATGGTTTGCACTTGGCGATGGTGACTGACGACAGGTGTGTAGTTGGTCAGCTTCATCTTATAAGTCTTTTATGATTTGTTATTTAAAGAATGATTTCAGACGGATGTGTTGTGTGTGCAGAGCACTTCGGATCTGGGAGCCCGGGCAGAGGGGCATGGTGATGCAGACGAAGTCCGACCGAGCCTCTAACGGACTCTGCTGCAAGTACCATCCACAGGGGGGAGTGATCGCAACAGGGTAAACACCCTTCATCACAATTTTAATATGATTTGATTATGAATCTCTCACTACTAATAAAAGTGGATTTAGATATGGTGTACTTTGGTGGCTGAATTGATCAGAGACTTAAATTCACAGAGGTGGGATTGGATGTCACAATGGTCACAATGGTCACAATGAAAATGATAAATATCAAGTCATCAATAAAACTTCTTTAACACACTTCCCTGTTAGCAATTCAAATGCTAAACATGCAAACTCTCCCTTTTTAATCCAAACAATAATTAGTATATTGAATTAACTTATCAAGGACAAATGTCAAACATTTGCAGGTTCCAATTTAACAAATGTAGGGATTTGTAATTGAGTTTGTCATGTTAAGTGAATCTTTTGAATAATTCCTTAGATATAAGCAAGATACACATTACTCTGACGACACATTTTTCCTCCTACAGGAGTGGCTTAGGCTTTCAAAAAACCTCCAATGCCTTTACATCTCCACCACTTAGCTAAAGGCAGCCTCTTGTTTGGCATCATGACAGTAAATAGTGTCTTTGAGTGACAGTCACAACAGTCCTTTTCTAATACATGTAAAAACTTCTAAAATGTATGAGTAGGGTAGCTACTGATGTGTTCTGTCATAAAGCAAACACATGTAAACATTTTAAGATATGTTTACCTCTTTACACGTGAGCAACACAAGTCCCTTTTGTAGCTTTCATGTTGTTGTTTATGATATGCAGACCGTTTTTAAAATACCCAGCCTACTGACCAAACTACCCACTTTTTTTTTTGAACACTGATAAACTGAGAACTTGACCTCAAATGAATCTCTACCTTCCATAGGCCTTTTCACTCATCATCTACAATTAAACAGTACATGTCAGAATGTGGACTGACTGATATCTTGAGAATTCACAGCCCAATGATAATAGATAATACTGTTTTTACTCCTCTTACCACAAGACTTACTCCAGTGTTTCTTATCTCTGATCAACAACTCACTCAGAGTCCAACATCCATAGTATCACAATTTCTCCGATCACCTTTAATAACTAAATTAATAACAGAAGTTCATTCACACCCACAACCAAGATGGCACTTCAACACATTACTCCTGAAAGACCCAGATTTTAGTATTAATTTTCAGCAGCAACCTAACTCACACCAACAATCTCCTCTTGTGACAGAACCAGAGACGGCCATGTGAGGTTCTGGAGGGGGCCCAGGACGGTGCCCAGCCTTTGCCACCTGTGCCGATCCATCCTGCGCCAGTCTGTCTCCACACACCAGATGGAGCCGCTCCCCCTCCCCAAGAGGATCCTCCAATACCTCACCTACAGAAACATCCCAGAGCGCCTCAAGACCTGCTGCTCGTCCGACGAAGAGGACTGGGAAGGTTAAATAGGAAAATTAACACAATGCAACAACTGACATTTACAGCGAGAGATTGTCATGCATAATGATTTAACAGAAATAGTTTTGTTTACGGATTTATCACATCTGTAATGTACTTAAGATTCACCATTCCTACATCAAGGAATTCATTTATTGCACTACTACTGTAAGAGGATGCATATACACTTAATGTTCACATGCTATATAACTTGAATATCACCATTTTATACTATTAATTTATTGTGTAAATATCATATGTATATCTAATTTATGTTTATAATACAGCAGCACTACTATTGTTCTTACACATATTAATTGTTAATATAAGATAACAAGAAACTTGACTTATAGGAAATAGTTTTATTAAACAGATTCAAACACATGTACATTTTGTACAGTTGTTATTACAGTTTGGTTGTATGTGTAACTTTATGACATTTCTTTAATATCTTTAAACACATTGCATATGTTTGATGTGTTACTGAGTTGCTCTTACACAAGAGACTAAATTAAGTTTTCGAAGTCCGTATTATAAGCGCCCAAAGGATTTTTGGTTTCTGAAGTTATGAAGACTGCCTTCCATTTCTTTGCTCAGCTTGTATGCAGATGTGAGTGACTAAGATGGCTGCGAGCGTTTTGTTTCTTCGCTGTACATCAGCTTTACGGAGCGTTGGTGGGCAATCATGCAGTGGACACTTCAGGGCATCTGTTTTCTTTCTAAATAAGCAAAAATGTGATTCCACCGATTTGACCATCATGAAAAATGTACCGATCCGTGATGGCAGTCAGAAAACAAACTGGTAAAAACGTTTGTCTCCACCAGTGGTTTGCTTTTAAGAGACAACATGTTGTCACGGGGTAAAGCGGAAACTGTATCTAAGAGGCCTCGCTGACCACGATGTCTCTCACGCCTTGGAAAGCTGCCACCATGGAGCTCAGCTGGATCTTCTCGTTGGTCCCTGAGGCGAGCCTGTGTCTGACGAGACGACACATGGTAAGAACAAAAGCAACTTGTCCAGTAAACATCAGAAATGTTCATGATATTAAGAAACACATGCATTTGATTACTTGTATGTAAAGTCATGTTAATATAAGACAGAGCACAGGTGATCCCACTTACTCAATGTCAGCCAACTTGATGAGCAGACCAATCCGAATAGCTGGAGGAAAATCCACTAGAAGGGGGGGGGAAAGAAAAAATTATTCACATGCTTGTATAGAACCACACAACAGAAAAACAGAGCATATACTGACACTAACCATGCAAGCTCAGTGGGAAAAAGCACCTACGGTAACTGTTCTTACCTGGAATGATCTAGTATAACTTTAGTTAAACTAATATAGTTCCTAGTTTTAAACAAAACGTTTATTTTCCCGTCAGAAAAATTGCTAATAAATATATATTTAGACATGTTACCATGTGGTCTTACCTCTGTGTATGAGCAGATGAATCTCAGTGAGAATATCATGCAGGGCCAAACCCTTCAAAGTCTTCAGCTGAAGGATTTCTGAATGAGGCGTTAAAGAACTGCAAAAAACAAACTGAACTCATTTTTTAAAAGTTAAGCCCATCCTCTGCAAACATTATATTAAACTATGTAATACATGTATAGCATGAGTAATATGCGAGTGTTCTGAAGGCTAATTTTGCACATTTGAATATGTACGTTCTACTAACCTGACACTAGATATTGTCACTTGCAAGATGTTGGAGATGTTGAGCTTTTTCTAAAATTGTACAGAATAACAGTAAACATAAACATCCTTTGCCCATCAGGATAATCACTCAGGAAGCTCTACTGTATATAATCAAAGTGAAGGATACGCTTGTACGCTGAGGTGAAGTCTTTGTTGAGCGACCAGTCGAGGATGTTGGCTATATCTGAGCGGAGGGGGTGACCTGTGCAGGTGTACACCGTGTCCTCTGTCACCTTCCCGTACGCCATGCTGGTGCTCTGAAATCACACAGGTGGAATAAGTTAGTGTTGTTTACACCTATATAATAACAGGTGTAATATGAATAGAAAAAACTTCAACGCAACAGCGACAACACCTCAATTGTGAAGATCATATTTGGTTGTACCTGCAGTATGTTGAGCGATCTTCTCATATCGCCTGATGATAAGGTCACAATGGCCTTCATTCCACCTGGATTAATGTCGATACTGCCAAAAAACATTAACAGTTTCAATTAAAAGTCAGATCATTGTAAAGTGTCACTAATCTTTCAATTCAAATGTATGTAACTGATTATTTTGTGCGGTAGGATAATTTCCTTTCGATCCTGTGCTGTAAAATAGCATTCTTCCTTTGAAACTCTAACAAGTAGAATACCAAGAAATAAAATGATATATTTATCAAATGTATATATTTCCATAACGAAGGATATCATTTAGACGGTGTCCGACAGTACCAAATATCGTATTAAAAGGTAAAAACGATTTGTTGAAAATAACAGCGTCATCAAAATCTCTTCCTCCTCAGACAGTTATAACAGAAGATGACACGTGAACGATTCCCACCTCTCCTGCTGGACCACGTACTCCAGCCGAGGGATCATCTGGTCTGGGGACAGCGGGCCGAAGCGAAACCTGGTGCATCGAGACTGCAGAGCCGGGATGATCTTGGACAGGTAGTTGCAGATCAGACAGAATCGAGTGTTTTCTGTGTACTTCTCAATCACTGAGAGAGGGACGGAGAGAGCAGGGATTAGAAACAAGATAGAAAAAATAAAAATGTATGTAATGTAAGAGATACATTGTTGCATCGAAAACCTACTCATTTAAAGACTATCACATCTGACAGGTGTCCTCTCATAGAACACATGTTTAAAACCTAGAGACTTATTGATAGAAACAGGATTTTTTTGAAGTACTCGCAGATCACATGCAAGTCACTGCATCAAGAAACTACACACGTTTGTAAGCGTTTGTCAAATTATTAACACAAGCTAATGATTAGTTGACGTCAGATGATTCCACAAAGTTTTCAATACTTAAAAACAAAAGCCTTCAATAGGAATTGCCTTCAAAATTGATTTCTGGGTGTCCAAGCAGATTTTCTGTAATTCACAAGTAGCCACATGGTCTGGCTGCCCACTGTGAGCCGTACAGCTCAGTGGGCAACGCCCGGCTGAACAGATGGCTTACCTCGCCGCAATGCATTCTGGGCATCCTGGGTCATGGCATCGGCCTCATCCAGTATCACCAACTTGAAGCCCTTCCTGGAGGACAATAAGGCAGCAATTGAAATGATTCCGGGTGCAGATAAAAGGAAAGAGCTTTAAGAATGCAACAGGAGGTATGTGAAAAGAGTAGAAGAATAGATTTGTGTATCTTACTTGAAGATGGTCCTGGTGCTCGCAAAACTAAGGACAGGACCGCGTACAACATCTATACCTCTGTCATCTGATGCGTTTAGCTGTAACACAAAATGAGTTAAATATCAAATAGAAGAACCTCAGAGTTATCTGAACTGCAGAAGATATCAGGTGAAAGGAGAAGTAAAAAGCATCCCAATAAACCAAAAGCTTGTTATAAAGAGTTGTAGTTTACCTCCAACACCATGGAGGTGAACTCTTTGTCCTTGTACAGCTGCTTGGCACAGGCCAGGATGGTGGAAGTTTTTCCTGTTCCAGGAGGGCCATAGAACAGGAGATGGGGAAGCTTTTCCTCACTGATAAACTTCTGGACTGAAAGGATACAAAACATTGGAAAGAACAGGAACTAAATCAACAATCTGAATATGACATGGTTAAAATGAATGGTACCATTCAAGTCAATGTATAAAGCTGTGGCTCATGTACAACTGATGATTGAACTATTGATGGCTTTTACAGTAGTATATAGTAGACAACAAAAATATGAGTTAGCAAACTGACAGACAGCAGGTAAATGCGTCTACACACATTTATAAGTTAACTTTAAAATGATGTGGTATCTTTGTTATTCATATTTCAGTACACCTGATATGTATATGTTCCAAGTTGTTATAATAAAAAAGTAAAAATAACTGGAGAAGTTGTGTTAATAAGCAGTGTTACTGACGAACCCTGTTGTGCAGCGGCTTTAGGAAGAAGGATTATATATGTATTATTCTACATACTTACTGGTGCTTAGAATATCTTTGTGTGAGATCAGATCATCGAGCTTCTGTGGTCTGTATTTTTCAACCCTTGAATATAAAGTGAAAAGACATCGTCCAAAACATCAATGTTGTAAATAATAAACCAATACTTCCAATTTCTAAATGACTTATGCCTGCAAAACGTAGGAGTGGTTGGCAGAAACACATTACAAGTTCATTTAACATAAATATCTCAAAATGACATTAGCCACTTGTTAAGCCCCCATCACATCGTTGTCTGTACTGATCCAAACTACAGAACGAACTTCATTAAGAGTTTCTCTATTTTAAAGCATCTGTCTCAAAGATTTGGATACATATGCAATAAGCTTTTACTTTATCGAGACTTCAAATAGCTAAGCATCAAGTTTCAATTCGGCATCTTTATGTTGCACCATGCACCAATATATTAAATACAATATCAACTTTGTAATTGTTAATTAGGGGCTGCAACGTGTCCGGTGAGACAGTTGTATCAGCTGGCAAAAGGCAATGCTAAATGCATCAACTGGCTACTATATATGCCGAATGTAAAACAAGCTCACATAGATTACGATTAAATATTCGTTTTATAAGTATTATTCATATCTAACGTTGTTTGTATATGAATGAAGAACTAACGTTGGTGCATCTACATGCAGTAGCAAGCTGCCTTCTTGATTCCATACTAATGTTAAGTAGTTTAGCTAGCTAGCACTAACTATTCCAACCTATTTGTGATGAACAACGACTCTGAACTCACCATGGTAAGTTTCTGCTCTGTAACGGCAGTTTACTTGAGGAAGACATGTGTCCTGTTATTGTATACTTAGCTCCGAGTTAGCTAAATACATTTAGTTTCGGGCACCCTCGGTTTGATGTTGATGGCCGTGTTTGGCGCGCTCCACAACAAAAACGTGCGTCAAACGTCACGACGTACAACCAATCCCATCAGTGTGCGAGCACATGTGGGCGGGGTTTTGGGGACACGACTTCCCTCTGTAAAAAAGAAGCGTGTAAAATGAGAAGTGTCACAATTACAGTTAAAAAAGCGCTATACAATGCATGCAGACAGATATGTGGGTGATACGGCTATTACATTTATGTAGGCAGGTGACGAAGAAAAAACAAATGTTCTCGTGTTACTCTCATCAAAAATGCCCAGTGTCCTAATATAACATTCAGCAGGTCCTGTATTACATTATCTAAATATGTTGCACAGTTTAGAGCCATTTGATGAAAAGATTAAACATGTGTTGTACACATATTTTCTCAACTAGCTTGGTATTTTTCAGTTATGTGGAACATTTGGCAATCGAATATTCCTATTTCTATACAGGAATGTTGCTGCATTTCCTCTGAAGAGCATGAATAGCTTGCATAGGTTATTAGCCTATTTTATCCAATTACTTATAGCAGTAGTTTACAACCTTTTGGCTTGTGTCTTGCTAACATGAGGCAGTGTTTTTATGCTTTATAACCATAGACTGTATATATAAAGGTTTATAACATATTAGTGATCTGAAATGTGATCAACCAAAGTTTACCTCCTCCGATTGTTTCTTTTTAATATTTGCTGTGCCTGAACTGCTAAATGTATCCAGTGTTTCAAAAGAAAAAGAGCAACATTTACATTAAAGTCCAAGACAATTAACGGCATTATGTGCCATGCAAAAATATATTCTTTATTTCTTAGGACTTAATTTATTTTGTGGTCTTTTAGAGTTATCATGGGACACTGTAAGATGCCCTTAACCCCCGGGTTGTGAGCACATATCTTATAATGAGATGGAAGATTTCAATAAATCATGATAATTATATAATGAATTCAGACTTTACCTGTATTTGTATTGTTTCTCTTTTGTCTTTTAGAGAAACTAACTATCCTACAGAAGATGCATCACAGCTAGTTTTCTGTTTTTGTCCATAGGTCAATTATTGTCACCTCTTGGTGACCTCTTAACTATTAAATATACAGTTCCCAAAGTGCAAGCCTTTTTTAGGAGACACAGAGTGGAATACGCCGTTTTTAACTGTAAAATGATGACATACAACATAATAGAAAGAAAGACGATTTAACTTTGTTTATCTGTTTTATTTGAGTTTTTCTCTTTTGTTTTGATTTATTTGATTATTGTAAAGGCCTATTTTCTTTGCTGAATATATGTGGGAATAATTGTATTTGACTTAGATAACCTACCAGCCGAATGACATCAAGCCATCATCAAGAGCAGTCTTCTTCACAAATATATCGGTTAGAAATGTGAGGGGGGGGGGGGTGTAAGTGGCTTAAGGGCACACAACAATAGCAGTTATACAGAATGACAACTCATTTCTAGTAAACAAGTATAACACTTAAAGTCAAGTTTATCCAAATATGAGGAGACTTCCAAAATGTTATAATGTTGTCAAATATTAAACAATTCAAATCAATTCATTAAAAAAACTCTAACTTAAAGTACAATCACTGTAGCCACGAGAAAATAAACTGTTTCCCATACAAATACATATAAAAAGAGTGTATAGCCTGCATATAGTGTATGTGTGGGTGTCCTGTATGGTAGAGTACACATCTAAATCTGTATACGATGTATTATTATAATACAAAGACCCGATCTTTCCTCTACACATGTGAAAAGTGTTCCTTATTCAGGCCTGTCTGTTAAAGCAGTGAGCCCACCGCACTTGGCGCTGATCTCGCGAGAGTGGCCCCTCACGGCGGTGCCTGGGTGATGCGATGCTGTTGCTGTGGGTTTGATTGACGGGAAACATGTCGGTGTGGTGGGAGCGAACCGGGATGCAGCTGCTGCCAAGGGAGACAGGGAGTACCTGCATCCAATCCACACATCAGCACCTTTAAAACCATCAGGCTTTCCCCTCAGATACGTCTGCTTATGATGCGCTCAACTGCTTCTATTTAAAAAAACAAAAAACATCCATTTAAAACGAAGGGGCACCCAATGGATGCTGTGGCAAACCGTGTAGTCCCGCTCGGTATCTTCATATTGTGTTTGATTTAGCCTACAATCAGAGACACCTTGATGAAGCAGCAGGAACTACGAGGACTGTTGTTGCAATGGAGTCGACTCTCTCACGGCTCAAACCGCGTCTGTAAACCTACAACATCTCGTTTCATGGCGTTTTGCAGCAGGTTGCTCTGTTCCGTGGGCTTCTCCACGTTTCTTTTCTGAATTATTTTGTTGTTTTTGTTGTTTTTTTAATTTTAATTTTTTAAGCGCAAAGGGGGGGAACAAACCGACCACTGCTCGCAAAACTATGAACGAGGAGATGACAAAAAGCGAGGAGCAGCATCTTAGTTTGCAGAAAGCCTTGCAGCAGTGCGAGTTGGTGCAAAATATGATCGACATAAGTATTTCTAGTTTGGAGGGTTTACGGACCAAATGTGCCACATCCAACGACTTGACACAAAAAGAGATACGAACGCTGGAGGTAAGCACCATTTGAGCGGAATGACTGAAATACTGCTGTGCATCTTCATCAAAATCAATACGGAGGGCTGTCACCGTATTTTATTTATTTCTAGGCCACTATGCATATTTTCCAGTGCCTTATCCACCACAAACTGCTTTTCCACTATCGGGGTTGCCATTGCATTCATATGCAAATATTTCCACTGCTATCTGTTTTGTGCAGTGCAATAAATCAAGAGGCTACGGGGCTGCAGTGGGCTGTTATAGACTTGCGCATTCTGCAGGTGGCGGGGAGAGAAGGTAGCTCTTCTCCATCAGAATAATATCTGAGGCAGCCGAGGCCTATAGGCTGCCCGTGTTTACAATCCATTACCAATATGCCAGCCTGCGTATCTGTCCTCTTAGCGCATCCAGGCCCTGCTGCTGTTATGCAAGGCGAGCAGATTACTCAAAATTGTTACAAAATATCGTTATCCGTTTAATTGGCCAGTGGGGTATTCCGCAAATTGCGTTACGTAAGCGCCATCATATATCAGTATTGTGTTTGAGATGTCAGATTGTCCGTTTTTAGACCACTTAAACCAGCCCCCCCCCCCCCCCCCCCCCTCACCACTAAGAGGCTGTTACGGGACATATACAATGCCATAAAGTGCGATAAGGTCACTGAAAACTCACTATTAAGCAGTGCAGACACAGCACACTATGGAGGGCCTGTAAGAATCTTATTATGATGCCTCGGGAGATTAAAACAAATACCATTAAGTGCGATAAGGTCGCCATAAACTCAGCACTGAGCAGGGCTATCTGTGTGTACCATCAGACCACTTTAAGTCCCAGAGGGAATATAATGTGATATTACATAACAATAAAGTCACTTGTGAGTGCCACACACTAACCCCAACCCCACAGGAACATGAGGCTATAATATGTTATACAATGGATAAACACATGTTTTTAATACTGTGTCTGAGCTATTAAGTGAAGTTTGCAAGTGTTGCACAGGCATTGGGATGGATAAGAGTAGAGAAAACTAATGACATGTTCTGCCATCATGAGCAGGCTACAGTGTGGAGATAAATGTTCACTATGTTCCCAGAATTCCTTGCAAAGCATAGATTGTTGTAAGCATGACATAAGTATTGTTTTCATGTTACAACATTTGGACAGGGTTGTAACTTTGAAGGCAATTATAAATCCTTAATTATCAGCATATGCCATATTTATAACAACGTTTCCACATGGCAAAGGAACTATACTAGGTTTGAAGGGTTGAGACACAGAATAGTAGTAAGGCCATTTTGGGAAAGCAGGGAAAGGTGTTTTTTATTTTTTCTCAACCTTCCTTGTTATATTGTGAAAAGTTACATAAACATAAAAAGGCAATGGTCTTATTCATGTGAACATTGATGGTGTAGGCCTACAGTAGACGTTTGACTAACTTATTATCTAAAAAGTAATGACAACATGACGACAACACATTAGCTGTGCCATTTGGGATGTTAAAGGGACCTTGCAGAGTAATGCAGTAATGTTTGTATCACTTGTACTACCAGACTGACATGCATAATGGTTAATGTGAAACATTTCTGATGATTGCAGGGGACGGTAATGTCGAAGTCGAAGCCAATTGCAAGCTTGTATGGATAATACAGACTCCAAAACATTCATAAGTTATTAATTTGTTCATACCTGATCTATTGAACTGAATTAGGGAATGCATTGGGGGGTAGTCTTTGTTATACAACACACCAGTGGAACATCTGGCCTCTCTTACTGTAGTTCTTCAAAGTGACCCTGCTCTGCAGCGACATCTTGAACATATGAATTTCTCTTTTATCATGTCTCTTACATTTTATGAATTGTTGTCTATAAAGTTGTGTCACTCTGCTCTTTTAAGGAAACATTTCCTATAACTTACATAATTGGAAATGTTAAGGTTGGTGATGGACAAATTATTATTGTGTTTCATAGCATTTGCCATGTTTCCCAAAAATAACATTCCCTGAGCATTCTGCCAAGCTATGTATATTACTGAAAGCTGCAGTATGACAAAAAAAATATATAACAGTCCAAAATAGGAGCCAAGATGAATGAATCCTGGGAAAAATGAAAATAATCTTTAACTCCCTCCAGACATGTTTTTAATTAAGTATGTGACAAAAAGCTACCGTGATTGATATTTAGTTTATTATGGTTTTCTAACAAAAAACTGTAATGGGGCTAGAATGAAATCTCTCTCCCCCTGATATGTTCTGGATTTGGCACCGCCCACACCTGCTCGAGCTAGCTGACAGGTGTGCACATCGAAGCATGGATCCTGAGCGATGCGTTTCGGTGTCTGGTCTATTTTCTTTGTTAGAAAACACCTGAGAGAATTAGCCATACATGTTTGACTCAGAGGAGAAGTCTGTTGTGCACCACAATCTGGGACTAGCAGACCTATCAGCATGGTAAGTGTAGTTTAGCACGTTTTATTTAGCTCATGTTGTTTGTTAGCTTGTGAGCTTGTAACTGGCAGTGACTAGCAAAATGCTACAGTTTGTGAAACAAACAATTAATCAGACCCGGCGGCAGACATTTCTGGGCGGGTATTTGATTTACCAGGGCGGGCCCACCCCGAAATGTACATAATCCCGGGAAATCTGAATTGTTAACGGGGGGGGCGGCTGTTAGACGCTCGAGATTTGTCAACCGGGGGGGGGGAGGCTGTTAGAGGGGGGGCGCGAGGGAGGCGCTCGTGAATTGTTGTTACGGAAACAGAGGGGTTTTAGGTCATAGGTTTTAGGTTGCCATAAGGCTGTTGACGGTCTCTTTATAGACTACATCCATTGGTTGGTTTTGTGGCACATTTGTATCGCTGTGCCAACTTGGGCAAGCACGCAGGCAAACCTGAGGAGCGCACACAGGGTGGAGAGGTGGAGTGAGGTTGAGCCATGGAGAGAAAGGGAGAGAGAGATATTGAGCGAGGCAGAGAGCGTGTACAGCGGTCTGCTTTCGCACAGAGCCGGAGTTTGTGAGAGAGCCGGCTTGAGAGTCAATTTCTCTTCAAAATATAATTGATTGCCAGCCTCCCTTGTCCCTGGCTGGCTTGCTAGCTCGTTGGTAACGTAACTGATGTCTTCTAATGTGCCTGCATCTGGCGCTGACAGTGGTGACTGGTCATTAGGGGCAGGGCCTAGTGTCAGCAGAAAGTATTACAAATAATGATTACAAAAAAATGCATAAAATATATTTTAAGATCATGTTTAATCATCTGATTCGTCTGTACATTGCTGTTTTAGTCTGTGTTCTTCTAATTAGTGTCTACAGTGTGTGCCTATTGAGCTGTTTAGAGCCATGTGGGACAAAACCCGATCATGCCCCTCCCTCTCACTGTCTAAGTCAATGGTGACTGTAAAAACTACACTGCGCATGCTCAGAATATGTTCCTATTTAATGTGTGTGGCAAAAAAAAAATGACCATAGGGGCATAGAGCTGCCATCCCCACCATACGTCATCTCACATAATTCAGAGCTGATTGGCTGTAAGTACGTGTGCCGCGAAAAGTGTGGTGTGTGAAGAGGAGACGAGAGAGCTGCAGTGACGCGTCCTAAAACCCGGAAGTAAGCTGCGCATGGCTTCCCTCGACAAAAAAGCAATGAGATTTCTCCATAGTATTTTAGAAAATGGCTCCAAATAAGATCTGTGGGAAACAAACCTGTTAGATAAATGCACGTTTTGTTCAGCTGGATAATATCTACATGTCTACCCTACTTTTCTAATTTTCTAATCATAAATCTATCGTTTAGATTTATGATAGACTTTTGAAACTACAAGAAGATAAGGAGGACTTTTACAAAAAAGTAATAGAGATTTTTGTCCAGAAGGATAGGCAAATGGACTTCATCTTCAAGTCAAGGTAAGACCACCATTTTATTGAAAATGGGATCTTCCTAAGAGAGAACAATTCAATATGTAAATGATTAAATGACATTTCTTGGGTATCCTTTTGTTGAACTGTCTGTTTAAAATTAATCGAAGCATCAGACAAAAAAAGCTTTTGAAAATAATATTATATTTTGATTTAGGTCAACATATAATATTTGTAAACCTGAAGAGTCAGTGCCAGTGCCTCACCAGCCTTGAACCTCACTGCAGAAGCTTATAGACATCTTAAGTTTTTTGTGCCCCACCACTTTTGTACATATAAAAACGCCACTGGGCGCTGAGTTGCCATATTCCTTTCATGAACCACTTCCTGATATCCATTGTTGCAGATAAATATAAATGATAATAGCCAAACTAACCTAGCAAGAGTAAACTGACAGGCTGCTGTGCCACATCTCACTCAAAAACCCACACGACTCAACCCATCGAAAAACCAGTCTTTTATTCAGAATTTCATAGCAAAATAATAAAATGATATTAAACTAATCTTTCAACATAGTTTAAAACAAAAATAAATATTAGGACAAAGCCCTACAAATAACAACAATAAACATAATAATAAAACAATTAAAATGTTGTATTCAGCCCTGATTAAAACAGCAGGCCCAAATCCTGGATGGGCGGGCCCGGCCCTATGGCCCGCCCATGACGCCGGGTCTGCAATTAATTGACTTGTTTTTGGAAACATGGAAGAAGATTCCAGGGTCAGTTTTAAATTTAAAAAAATGCACACTACCACGTTTGTACCATCTTTCTATGCTAATGCTATCTTTCAGTTTGTTGACAAGTCCACTCTCTGCGTGCAGGTTTCAGGTTTATGTGCAGGTGTTGTGATGCACGTCCTTATTGATTTGTGTCCAGCCTGTCCTCCCACAAAAAACGACGAAATAGGTTGATTGTTCAGCAGCTTATTACGACCCATAGTCACGTTTTAAAGTGTAGCACCTCTAGTGGTCGTGTAATAAACAACATGCTCCCGTTGATTGCAAACGCTCCGGAGGGTCGTTTATTCACAAATACCCCTCTCTGGAAAATCCTAAATTGTAGGATAGTTTGGCCATTAAAATGCTTTTTGATTAGATTTCTAGCGA